ATGCTCATGGCTGTGGTGGGATGGCCAGCGCTGGCTCTCCGTCAATAGCAGAAATGCATATACCATTTTTTTTTCTGTTTCCAGGTGAATATGGCCCTGGCAGGGAAGCCTTTAGATGTGACACTCAGCACCTCCAGAGCTGACCAGTGGAATATGGTTTTTCCCAAGAAAGACGAAATCATCACCAGCTTAGTGTCTGCCTTAGACTCCATGGTAAGAGGCCGGTGGTGTCCCCGTCCCCTTCCCTCATTTCACCTCCCTTTAACGGGGCTGGTGGGGAGCAGGGTTAAAGCAAGAGGGCTGTCGAGCTTGTCCCACTCCTCTCCGCTGCCGGAAAGCCCAGGGAGCTGTGGGAGCTGGGAAATAAAAATCCTCTCCCGCCCTGACAGCCGTAAGGATCATAAAGTCAGCCCAAGTTAATCTCAGATGTGTATTGTTTTCCCATTAATATTTATGTTGGTATCAACTGAATGTAGGGTGGTTGGGTTTTTTTTTTCTTGATGTTTTACCAATGTTACCGTGAGCTTTTACACAACAGGAGAACAATGGCTTTTATCTCCGAGAACAAAGAAAATAACTTTCATATCTTCTGACGTAGAATTCCTGGTGGAAACCTTGCCTAAGTCATCCATGCTTACATAAACAAGATAACTGTCTGGATTAAGTCTCATGGACCAGAGCTAATCTTATTTTTAACTGTGAATGTGATCAAGAAGGGAAAGCGGGTGTGTGTAGTAACAAATGTCTAATGCAATGCGACGTGCTAAATAGCCCTCCCTTCTTAAAACCAAGTTGTATTTAATGTATTTACCTTGGATGCATCTTCTTCCCTACTCAGGTAGGGGTTTTTTTTAGTAATAATAATTTCCTTCTCTTTGACCATCACCACCCCACTAAGGAGCAGGTTCCCCAGAGCTGACGCACCCCAAGCAGCTTTGATGATTTATATACGTGCCATCCTGTACAGCAAAGCGTTATCACAGTTTGGCTTCTTAATGAATATACATTATTCTGCAATCCTCATTAGGCTCTTACACCAGGGCCAGGGGGCCAGGCTGCTCCTGAAATTCAGCCTTTATCCCAGTGCTTCACCAGTGCCAGGCTCTGCGCCCACCGAAGCCTGGCTGCCTGCAAATAAACCATGGGGCCATGTGCACGTCACCAAGCGGACTTTGGGTTTGGATTTGCTCTGCCTCCAAATCTCACTTCCATTTGCTACTGGGTTTTTGAAAGGAGGTTTCTTAAAAATATCTATTTTGGGGGATGTGATTCAATACCTCTTTCCTGAAGAAGGTGAGCAGAAGGTAAAATGACCCGATACAGAGACTGGTTTAAGCCCACACAAATCAAGCTGGCTGTAAATGCATGCAGGGAGCTGAAGGTAGCTGCCGGGGGTGTGGTCCGTGGGCAGCTTCTGTCCTGCTCCCTCCCCAGCTGCCAGCATCCTCCATGGTGCCGGGGACAGGCGACATGTCTAACCGGGGCGGCTGATGGGAAAATCCCCCGTTTTACCCATTTAAACCGTGACCTGGGGATAGCGTCTTCATAGCGTCGGTGCTGTAGCTATGGGAATGTGACTCAGGTTGCCGGCACAACTATTATAATATAAAAAATAATAATAAAAACGCATATACATATGTATTATTTAGAGCAGGAAGCGCACGTTACATAAAATGGATTAATGGAGGAAGTCTTTTCCATCTCTTTAATGTTTTGCATAACTGTACAAGAAGAATCGTTCGACTAATCCAGACTTTGACCATATTAGTGTTCTGCAGCTGAAATAAGATTCCCGTGCTCCTTATTTCATTAGAGCTGGTGGAAAAATACAAATTGTTGGTGGTGTGGTTTTGGTTTTTTTTACAAGAATGTTTTCTTTTAAAGAAATACTGTAAAATGTTTACTTTTAGGATAGGAAAAAGTGAAACGAAATGATGGGTAAATAGTTCTTGTTTTCCAGCAAAGCATAGCTCAGCCAGGTACCTTTCTGGAGCTGTAAAGTCACCAAAGTGTTCAGGGTATGTCATTAAACCCATGAAATTCTGACCCAAACCAGAACATTGCTTTTGGTGGGAGACTCTTTTGATGGGAACTAAAAAATCCCACTGGAAAATGGCAGGAGGTGCTGAGCGGGGATGCTCCCGCAGCCGCTCTGACCCGGTGCCTCCCTGCAGTGCTCGGCGCTCTCCAAGCTGAACGCGGAGGTGGCCTGCATCGCCGTCCACGAGGAGAGTGCCTTCGTGGTGGGCACCGAGAAGGGACGGGTCTTCCTCAGCGCCCGCAAGGAGCTGCAAGCTGACTTCCAGAAGTTTTGCAGTGAGTATCCCTGCCGGCACGGTCTTCCCCTGCGCCGAGCTTGGTTGTGCCAGCTGGGACCCTCACTGCGCACGGAGGGGCTGTGATTTGGAGGGCACTGCGGTGTGGTCTGCCCGTGGGGCTGAGCGGTGTTTAAAGCCATGGAGAAAGCGGGTAGGAACTGTGGCTGGGTGCAGCCAGAGCCTCTCCTCTCCCGTGGAGGGCACCGTGCACCCCGGCTCTCCTCTCCGAAAGCATCCCTGGGGTGGCATAGGGCTCTGCTCCCTGGCGCTGTCAGCCTGTGGCAACAGTGCCGGTGTGCTGGATTGGCTTTTGAGGACTTAGCAGAAGTAGTTTGTGCTTGTGATCCCCCAGGAGCAGAGAGGATTTCCTGGGCCAAGGCTTTTTTCCTGATTTTGGAAAAACGGGTAGATTTGGGAGCTGCAGTGTTGGTTGTGGAGTTCCTTATTTTTTTGTGGGGTTAACAGTGGTGAAAGGATGCCTTGAGCAGGAACTGTGGTCCCTCCGGTCTCAGATCAGAGTTACCAGGTATCACAGGGACATGTGTCACTGGTGGCAGGCCCGCATGCAGTGAGGCCGGCACCCAGCCCTCCACGCCAGCTCCGTGCCCCTTCCGGCTCCCCAAAAACAGCCTGGGAGCTGAGGGGAAGGCGGGAGCTGTGCTGTGAATGGGGACCCATGTTTCTTGGATGGCCTCACCCCCGGCATGCCAACCACTGCTTTCCCCACTCTGTGCACGAGCTGGGACAGGATCTGGCTTTGGTGGTACTGGGGACCCCAGACGTGGGGGGACCCCAGACCCAGATCTGCTCGCACACTCTGCGCAAGGCAGGGTGTCGGTGGAGGAAATGACCCGGCTGTGTGTGCACACACACGGTGCTGACAGAAACCATGTTGGTGCTTAATCCGTTGGAGAGATTGCTCCGGAAGGGTTCACCCTAGTGAAAACATCGGCACTGTAAAGCTGCCAGGGTCGCTGTCTGCTCGGGTTGTTCACTGCACGTGTGCGGGGTGAGCCGGCACGGCTTTGCAGGAGCCGCTCCCTGCCAAGGCTCTGCTCTGCCCCTCCGTCCTGCCTGCCGTGGGCAGCTGCCTGCGCCCTCCGCAACGCCACTCGCACCCGGGAGAGCCGCCGTTACTTATCCTCCTCTTTGGCGCGTTGTGTTTTGCAGGAGGCATTTTGGGGACGTTTCATGTGTTCACGGGTGACTGCCTTACCTTCCCGTCACCCACGAGAGGCCGGGAGGCACCGAGCGGTGAACGGCAGCGGGGTGGCCAAGGGGAGGGAGCTCCCTGTTATATATTAAATGCCAGCTGTGTCTCTCTACAGCTCACAGTATTGATGAGCACCTGCAAATCCCACTTTTAGAAATATATCTACATATATCCTGGCCAGTGACCTGCTGCTGTTGCCTGACATGAGATCCTGATTCCTCTATCCTTTGATTTCACCTACACCTTTGTGAAAATGAAATGGTCATGTCTGCTAGAAAAGCACAAGATTTTGATGATGGGGTTCGGGTGTAGCGGCCGATGCTGGAGACAGGGTGAAACGTGATAACTCTATCTTGAATTATAAATGGCCCAGGCTCAACTCTGCTCCATAAAGCTCTTACAAGTGGCGCACAGTAGAAAGCATCCCTGGAAGTGCCTCTGATTTATGGTCTAGCTGCTCCCTTAGAAAGGATCTGAAATAATCTAAAGCAGACATCGCTGGGAGATGTAAGAAGCCTCTTATCTCTCTGGGCGCGCAGACCTCACTTGGAGGCCCTCCTTTATCTGAACCTCTGGCTCAGCCTTTCCTGGCACATGGGGAGACTTGACAGCGATCAGGATTGATGTCAACGGAGGAGAGTTAGCGCCCGGCTGGTCGGGAGAGTCAGTCATAGGAGGGTGTGGATGTGGGTGCATTTCGCCATCTCGGTAAAACACCCCAAAAAAGTTTTCCAGGGCCGGTTTCCCCGCACCGTGGGAGGGATGTGGAGCTTGCTGGGGGTTGCGCGGTGTTGGGTGGCTGTCCCCTTTCTTATGTCTCATTCTGTGGGTACCGCAGGTGGCTCTCGCCCCCATCCCGATGGTGTCCCAGCCACGGGCTCTTTCCATGAGAGGGATCGGCTGTCCCCTTTCTTATGTCTCATTCTGTGGGTACCGCAGGTGGCTCTCGCCCCCATCCCAATGGTGTCCCAGCCATGGGCTGTTTCCATGAGAGGGATCCATGAGCTCCTCCTTGAGTGCCCAGGCAGCATCCAGGGCTGATCACCAGCAGGAGCCTGTCGAGGATGATGAAGGAATTAGTCCTTTGCCACCGAAAATCCCTTGTGAATGGCTTTGGGTAGAGCGGCAATAATGTACTTGTAGTGTTTAATTTTCTGTGCATTTAGAGATGCGAGGAAGTCGTTGCCGAAGATATGCTTTATTTGAGGTTTAATGGGGAAATTAGCAGGAAATAGCTGGTATTACTGAGCTACGTGACGCTGAAGGGTAAAAAAGCCTCCAAGAAAGGAGGATTTTCTTTTCCTGTGAGATTGAAGGCTAAGCAGATTGAAACCAGAGAAAAGAAATGCGCTGCCCAATTAATCACAACAGTTTCAGTGCAGCTGAGTGGGTAAAACCAGGGAAGGGGGGGGCACGCACAGGATGAGCATGTCCCTGGCTGGCGGGGACCGACCCTGCTCCCGGCGGCACTGCTGGCACCGCTGCCCGTGCCGGCACCTTCCCCTGCACGCTGGTGGCTGCTAGGCGCCGTGGCCCCATCTGAGCCGGGGTGTGGGGTGGGTGGGAGACGCGGGGCACCCGCCCACCCAGCTAGAGGACCTTGCTGATGCCGTGGGGGTGGCGAGGAGCCTGGCGCCCACAGGACCCCATCTTGCATGGGGTTTGGTGGGCAGGATGCGTTCAGCCCTGGCTGAAGTTGGTGTAACCTGGCTGGCAGGTTCGATCGCATTGCAGTCACTCAAAAGCGCACGTGGCATTGCCTGTGAACCCTCTTCTCACCACAGCATCTCCTGTTTTCTCCTCTCCACCCGCCAGGAGTCCAGCAGAGGAAGGAGCAGGACGCAGAGGTGCAGAAGAAGACAAAGGAGTGCGGGCGAAGCGTGCTCAGGGTCTCCCCGGACCAGGGATCAGACGTGTACCTCCTCAGGAAGATGGTAGAGGAAGTGTTTGATGTGCTTTATAGTAAGAACCTTCACGCTTCCATTTGGGGATTTGGA